ATTGACAAGAAGTTACTAAAAATTATATTTTTTAAATTTATGATAAGTATAATCAGGAGTATAATGGTTTTCATTGTTGTTTAGAACCATTAACTTTTTAATTGACAACTTTAGAGAGTAGTACACTATAGGTAAATAGTACTTCTGTATAATGAAACTATTGCGGTACATAACTTAACAGCTATACAATCCTCAGATCCAATAAACATAACACAAACAAAGGCGCAAAACGCGTCGCGGTCATTGTTCCTGCTGCCGTAACTATTAATGGCGAGTACTGTTCAAGCTGAGACTTATATTATACTTTTAGAAAGATGGAGATTCTGAGGATTCATTTTCATATATATAAAATAGTATTGAGGGACTATTATGTAGCGAGAAATATAGTTTGTAAAAGAAGAGAGTTTAAAAAAATTTGGTAGTTGAACGTTTCCATCACCTGACCAGGCTGCACAATTGGTGCAACACCTGTTTCGGCGATCGCGTAAAGGTAGTGTAAACGATACGAGTAGAAAATGTTAAATACAAGCCTTGGCGAGTGCCTTAAAAACTTCTACGAGTGTCGTTAACACTATTTACGCGAGATGTGTGCATTAATTAACCTGTGACAGTATTTTAATTACCAAAAACCACTACTCAAAACTTAAAAAGAGAGGTTATTTTTTCTTTACCCCTCATTGTCTCTGACAGTAATGCAACGAATCATCGCACCAATCGTTAACAATTAAATTGACCTGAACAGCTGAAGTTATAGTTGAAGTTCGAAGCATTATAATTTTACTTCTTCTCTCTCAATCCTTGACCCTATCTGGGTACCAGTGGTGGTTATATTTTGGCCCTTTTTTTAGTGGTACCATATAATTCACCAGAGAACAGTTACATGCCCATATAAGTAGATATCTATTATATATTATGTTTCAGTGATAAATGTAGAATATAATAATATAAAAATATATATTTTTCAGCAATGCTTTTAGGCGTAGTAGCAAAAGGTTTGCAAATTTTTGGATTATTCAAATTAGAAATGTCTAAATCAACCCGCAAAAATCATAAAAATAATGTTTTTATCCATATTATCCAAATGTTAAGGTTGTGTAAAATATGATTCCTTACGTAGAAATATCAACGGTTTTTTTTTTTTAAATACGCATAAAAATAAAATTATAAGAAAACTACAAAACTATATTAATTACCAAATTGTATTTTATTGTTGTACTAGCTGTAACCCGCGGGCTTTGCCCCGTTTAACTTCTTAGTTTTCAAGATTATCTCGTTCGCATGGCTCAATCACGTCCTGGTTGAAGTTTGTTCGCTACGCTCACTCACCTTTAGGTTGGAGCTCGTTCGCTGCTCTCACTTGCCTTCAGGTTAGCTCGTTCGCTACGCTAACTCGCCTCCAGGTTGAAGTTCGTTCGCTCACTCACGTTTTGGTTGCAAATTAGCTGTTGTCATAAATGTAAAAGACATAATAGTGCTGCACCCTGTTGGTAATCCTTGTAACTTTAATGCTATTGAACATCATAGAACAGAACCAACTTGTTTAATTGAAACAGCTGTTAAGATTAAATAATTTCATTTCTCATGAGGTTAACATGGGAAACTCCAGAGCCACTGGGGCGGAGCCCGAAAGGAATTTTGAAATAAGAATATGCCTATATGTTAATCGGGAATGTGAGCTATCATCATGCCAAATTTCAGCCCAATCCGACCAGTATTTTTCGCGTTCACTTGTCACAAACATACATCCATACATCCATACATCCATACATCTAAACTTTCTCATTTATAATATTAGTAGGATGAGAAATAAATTTATTGCATCAACAGTAAATAAATATTATACTGCTGTAACAATTTAGTATTTTCACAAAAATTTTCAATAGAATAATTTAATTTTTACCATATGTTTTTATTTTTGTCAATATGTCAATCCATCTTTCTTTATCAAACCTTGTATAATATATGGCCAAACAGACCAATAGGTAATTGATTCAATACATTATAATATAGAACATTTTCAAATAACCTTATTTCATGTAAATATATAATAACCTATAACTTTTTGTAACAAAGTTGCTTCAAATCCAATATAATTTTACTTAAATAACTTGTCAAAATTCAAATTTAGCTCTATGGCAAATGAAAATTGTTATAATATATGTGTGAACAGTGGCCTACAATTTTCCGTGATAAAGTCAGCATTGACATATGTGAATGCAACAATGCATCAAACCTTCCTCACTTCTAAGAGTGCTGAGCTAGTATGAAGATATAAATTGTAAACTGCATATTTTAATATAAAAATTTATAAAAAAGTGCATATATTTGGAATAAATTAGTGGAATTTGAAGAAGATCCGTCCTTGTTACAAACATTAATAACTACACAACATCAAGAAATTTAACTGTGAAGAAGACATCAATTTTGGTGAGATCACTCCAGTAGACATTTTCTTTCCTTGGATCGAAGCCATTACAACATTTTTAAGCCTAACTTTTGAACTTTTGTATTAGAATTTAAAAGTCAAGAAACTAATAGAAGCTTATTCAGAACATAAATTAATTCAACCTTTCAGAAAATAATTCGAACATAATTTATATTTCAAAACAAAATTTAATTAGGCTATATATAATCACAAGATTAAATTCAAACGCCGCTCGATCACCCCACCTGAGATAAAGATCCATGCAATATAACCCCTCAACCTAAATTAGAACTATTGTAATAGGCCTAAAGCTTTAAATTAGTAAATTCATTTGCCACCCTTTGTAAACTTTTATTGTGAACCCTTAGTTTCTTTTCTTTTACCATCAATTTTGTATTGTAATGAAATAAATTTAAGTTTAGATCCTGTACATGGAGTTTCCATTGTATTCCTAGCTTGTATTTGTAACCTTGTTACACTGCATAATTTAAGAGTAAAAGCTCTTTCTAAAAATGTATAGTTAAATGTAGTTGAAATCGAAATTTCCTGAGTAATTTACGTCAGAATGTGAAATGTTAACATTTTTTTACGAAAACATAATTTTTATGACCTGTTCAAAACTACATAAAATTGTTATAACCAACCTCAGATTCGGAGATATATAAATTGTAGGGAATTTATTGCAGTTTCAGATGGTGATGGAAACGATCCACCACCAAAATATATTTTGAACTCTCTTCTTTTACAAACTATATTTCCCGCTACATAATAGTCGCTCAATACTATTTTATATATATGAAAATGAATCCTCAGAATCTTCATCTTTCTAAAAGTATAATATAAGTCTCAGCTTGAACTGTACTCGCCATTAATAGTTACGGCAGCAGGAACAATGACCGCGACGCGTTTTGCGCCTTTGTTTGTGTTATGTTTATTGGATCTGAGGATTGTATAGCTGTTAAGTTATGTACTGCAATAGTTTCATTATACAGAAGTACTATTTACCTACTGTGTACTACTCTCAAAAGTTATCATTTAAAAAATTAGTGGTTCTAAACAACAACAAAAACCATTATACTCCTGATTATACTTATCATAAATTTAAAAAATATAATTTTTAGTAACTTCTTGTCAATTTCCGTGAACCTACTACATAATCTATTTGTAGAATGCATTTTTCTGCACAGTTTGACATGTCTAACGTATTCATATGACTTTTGGTTCTCGAGATATAAGCTATTTTCTGCGCGGCGGCCCCTCGGGCGGCCCCCCAACTTCACCCCCTCCCCCCCATGTTATTAACCACCTAGAATTGCGACAACATCGATTTTCTTCATCTACTAAGTACCCATAGCAACAATCAAAAGTCAAATTTCGTTACACTTTTATGCATGCTCAAACCCCCTCAGCGCCTGGACTATTACACTAATATCATTAACTTTATATCTACTTTATTCTCATCAAGCATAGCAGACGACTAGCGCGCTGCACACGCCGGGACTACTGTCGGGGAAATAAATATGTGCTTGAGTTTGAGCCTAAATATCTCTTGAGGTTAATTAACCGATTTTGTTAAGACAAAAATTAAATATAAACTGGTTTAAATACATTTTACGTGGTAACAATTTTAAAAATTTCCGTTTACCAGAAAAATGTTTATAGTTGAAAGATTCTAAAAAGTACCGGTTTTTAAGAAACTCTGCACTAACACTGAAGTTTAAAACTTTATTGTAAACAAACCACTAAGCCAATCTTTCTGAAATTTGTATGGCTTATTGGTAGATTTATTGTTAACAGTTCCAAGCATTTTAAAATTTTTACTCACGATAGTTTTTATGCTGATGTTTATTTTTAAAACGTATGCTAACATCGTTAATAAGACGCTAAAAATTTCGTTCAAAATATCATCGTGTTTGTCGTGACACAAGAAATAACACCAATATGACAGATTTATAATGCGAACAAAGGTGTTTTTTAAACAGCTATATATTTGTAAAAAAAAATTTCTCCCGCAACTGGCAGGCCGATTGGCTCAGTGGTTTGTTTACAATTAAATTTTAAACTTCAGTGTTAGTTCAGAGTTTCTTAAAACCCGGTACTTTTTAGGATCTTTCAACAATATACATTTTTCTGATAAACGGATTTTTTTATTGCTACCACGTAAAATATATTTAAACCAGCTTATATTTAATTTTTGTTTCAACAAAATTGGATTATTCATCTCTGAGATATTTAGGCTCAAACTCGAGTGCACATATTTATTTCCTCGTCAGGTAGGCTAGCGCCGCCATCTTTGTCCGTTTCGCCGGCTAGTAAGACTGCCACGCTCCTGCGCTCCGAGTAGCGCTTCTATTTTGTTATGTGTTCGCTCACAGCCACCTCTAATACATGTATTAGAGGTGGCTGTGGTTCGCTGGTTGACGCATTCCCGCTGTTGTCTTCCAGTACAATTCCATTTCTTTTCCATAGAACCGTTCCATCGTTCCTCGTTCCACCGCTCCAGTCCAGTTCATGTCGTCTGTCCTGTGTCCTGTCTCCTCTCCCTCTCCTGTCACTGTCAGTGTCAGTGTGAGTGTGAGTGAGTGTCAGTTCTCAGTTGTCAGTGTAGTAGATGTAGGAAGTAGAAGTTTTGGTTTGGTTTTTTGTGGCCTACATCAAGATTAATTCATTGACTATTTATATTTGGAAAAAACAAAGTGTTGATGGTAAGCTAAACAGTAAATGGGTACAGTTTCTTAACGCTAATATCGGTTGAAACTATCTATTCAATTTTTCCATTATCAAAAGTTTGTTACCGGTAATAGGTCACAAGTTAAATTGTAGGTTATAGCCTAAGTGATCTATTTATTATCAGTTATCATGTCATGTATTAAACATACTTATTAAAATGAGGTATATTCTATATGGGTACAATTTCTAAACCAGGCTACGCTACCAAATTAATCCTTCATTTGATTTTTTTCATTATCAGCAAGTTTGGATATTTAGGTTAGGTTTTAACAGTTTCATTTTATAATCGACTACCAGCTGACGCCAATTTTTAATAAAAAAATAACATCGTTGTGTAAGCCAATCACAGAATGCCCTACAATTAACTAAGGTGGTCTGCCGTTAAACTTTAGACGCATAAATGAGCGAAGCATTATTTAAAGATTGTCAATGGCTAAAGCAGCTAACAACCTACAATATGTTCCCTATCAACAGATTCACCGTTTGTTTGCCCGATATTATTTAAGTTCTAAAGAATGACAAATTTAGTTCATTTATTTAGTTGAATAAGAATAAGAATTGATAAAAGGTTATTAGACATGTGTATTTGACATTACGTTTAAACGGTCAAGAGCTTCTATCTTCTTTGCCCAAGATCCGTGTCTGTTAATTGACATCAATCGGTCTAATGAAAATGGTGGATCCAGAAGCAGGCCTTCAAATGTATCAAATTTCACCATAATACATAACGGAATTTCTGACATCGGAATGTGGTTTTCTGTAGGAGAGTAGGCCTAAATAATATCCTTTACAAAGCCAAGTGCACCATTACGCAATCCTTTGTTTGTCCATAGATTTTTCGTTAGCATCACGCGACATCCGATTTGGTGCGACGACCAATATTACGACGTGGCCTTTGAGGCATGCTCAAGACAAATATAGCAAAACTGTTACTTCCATTGATAAACTGTTACATTCCAACATTAACCTAGGATGAAAGTAAACATTGAAATGTAAACAAAACAGTTACAAACAATTAACACATGACTGATTTAAATGAAACGAGATAAACCCATCCCAATATAATTTTTCTTTCAACTTACATTAAAATAACAAGCGAAATTGCGTGACCCGTAAAATAAAATCCAGAAGGAAATTTGCAAATATTTTTTATCAAAACATTGTGCTCAGTATTCTTTAGCTGTTGGCCAAATTTCATATCAATTGGTCAAGCCATTACGTTCTGATGCTCTTACAAAGAAGTTACAAAGTGAGGGAAAGTGAGCTTCGCTCAATTATATTTTCTACCTTATTTTTTGTTACTGGGTAACAGTTGCTATAGCTCTCAATAAGTTAAGTCATTACATTAGTTTGACTTCGCAAAAAGTGTCATGTATTTGACAGAAATAAATAGTTTTCATCAGAGCAATCTGTTGGTGGCTCACATCAACTTTATGGCGATTTACCGGTAACTAGGGGATGGAATGTCTAAAAAAATATATTAGCTTATCTTTTTTCCTAGAGAAAGGTTGAAATATAAGTATTTTTCATTTTTAAGACTGATACTGGCTCTTTTTTTTATTCACAATTTTTTCTCGTTTTACAAGCGAGGGACATTCGAGCTTTGAAATAAGATCAAGTACCAAAAAGACACTTTCGCTCCATGTGATGAACAACTAAGCTTAGGCTATTTTAATCATAGGTCTACTTGAGGAAATAAACTTCTAATCGTTACAAAATTACACCACATAATTTGAGGTTATACAAAGTCATAATGAATGTTTACATTTCTGTTGTTTACAAACATTACTTCAAATAAATGCCTAGTGTGATTATAGTTCGGCCGCTTAGAAAGCGACCTCCTCCAGCATTGGTTTAGCATTAGCGTGCAGGTCGTTTTCTAAGCGGCCGAGCTATAGCAGGGTTTTCTATTTCTATTGAACCATAAAAAAATTTGAGCTTAGCGAACCGACATATTTAGATCCCTACCATATGTTATGTTTTTTTTGTTCCCTATTTTGGAGTTACCCAAAAACTATGATTTTTGAGAACTACACCTTTTCCACTTTTATTTCAGAAAGGGTCAATTGTATTTCAGAATAGTCATTTGTATTTCAGAAATGGCAATTTGTATTTCAGATGTAAGATTTTAATTTTAGAAAGTGTCAATTGTATTTCAGAATAGTAATTTTAATTTTATAAATCATCACTTTTATTTCAGAAATGGTCATTTATATTCCATTAAAATGATTATTTGCATTTCAGAAGATACCAATTGTATTTCAGAAATAATTTGTGTAAACAACTTTGTCATCAGCATTAGGAATTAGCTATGAATTTGTTATGAGAAAAACCCTTCAGTTAGTATAATTTTTATATCATAGGATGAGATTCAACTCGGAAAAATATCTCATTAGGCCCTGGTCAAATCAAGAAAAAAACGTGATAAACTTTTCTAGGCTAACCTAATTAACCTAAACTTAACCCTGGGCTTTTTATAAATTAAATTTGAATCAGATCCACTACGACTGTGTAAAATTGTCTAATCAATCATTTCTGAAATACAATTGACTTTGTCTGAAATACATTTGACTAATCCTGAAGTATATGTGACAATTTCTGTAATACATATGATACTTCTGAAATTCAATCGATGTTTTCTGATATAAGAGTTACTAGTCTGGAGTTACTAGTCAGTTAGAGTTACTGGTTGCATCATTCTGAAATGCAATTGATGCTTTCTGAAATAGACTTGACACGTTCTAAAATAGAATTTGAAAAGGTGTAGAAACTTCCGTTTTCCGCACAATATGATGAAAACATATTTTTATCATTTTAACAGATATGGTTTAAATGTTTTTCTTGGGATCTTTGCAATAGGACTATTTAGCTAACTAAAACAGGCCTTCTACCATACATCTGCTTGCTTTTTTAGCAACCAGTATATCAGCAATACATTAATAATTAATAATTATTTTTCATTACAGGTCTAGAACAAAATATTATATTTATTCAAGAAGTTTAAAACATACATCATTGACATTGCAGTATGGTGGTAAGTGACTTAGTAAAAGTTACAAACTTATAGTCCGTGAGGTAGGCGAAGGACTCTGAGGGATTAACGTCCCTTCCACCAATGCACGCGCACTCGACAGCAGGGCCCTACCTACCCCACGTTGAGTGACTCATGTATGTGTGTGTAGGTGTGTCTCTGTGTGTGTGAGGGCTGTAATCCCTTAGAGTCCTTCGCCGGCCTCACGGACTATAGACTAAATAAATCTAGCTATAAGCCTAAGTTAAAGATAAAAAATAAATTAAACTGTTAAAAAAAACTTTTTATTTATAGGGGCGGCCCCAGGAATAATTTTTTGGGTAGGCCTGAGCTGAGAAGGATCAAGAAAGAGTTTGGAAGGGGAACAAGAGATTTGAAGGGCTTTCCCCGCAAAAAGGGGAAATTTTAAAATTTAAATGCAAAATAATTAGTTTGAATGCTTTCCCTTTATTTATCTATTATCTATTATATATTATTAAAGTGATACAATCAAATTTTATGTAAACGGTTAACCCCTTCGCTTAAAGCGACGGCGATTCGCCGTCGTGCTCCCGCGAGCCATTGTGTGAAGCGACGGCGAATCGCCGTCCGCCATTAAAATCAATATTTGCCGAGTTAGTTCCCAAAAAATCCAACAGATCGCATATGCTTCTTGTTCTGCAAGCTTCAGGCTTTCATTTGGTTGTATTTTCGTCGTCCACAGCCTGCCCAATCGGCAAAAACAATCAATTGAAAATTACGATTTACCAGCTGACGTTGGGAACGTTGTCTTGGCAGCTGTCTGCCTTGTTTGTTTATGTTTACATCGTCATTTCACAACAGTATTTTATTTATATCATGTTGAATTCTATTTTTCGTTTGCAAATAGTTGTTTTATAAAATAAATAAGATGAGTAACTTTTTATTTGTTGATGAGTGTGGAAGGGAATTGGACGAAAGTGAGATTGCTAAACTTATTGAATGTGACAGTGACTCAGACAGTGATTGTTATTTATTTGAAGAAAGGCTTGAGAGTGATGATGAATTATTGGAAATAAACAATGAAAACGTAAGTGAAGCATGCAATAGTATAAGTATTGCTGACTGTGAACCTCAAGATTTAGCTGATAATGGTGTGACAGAGCATGCTAGCCCTAGGCCTGTTATAAATAGTGATTGTTTGCATGACCTAAGCCTGTAAATAATGATTGTTTGCATGACCAGCCCTCCTGTAGTTATGCCCGACCTATGTCCCCTCAAAATGTGCCTCATAGGCCTAGTCCTGTGTCCTATGAACAGCAAAGTTCTGACGATGAAAACCCTGTTGGATTTATGGAAAAAATTTACCGAGGTAGGGTAATTGCACCTGCACTATCTCCTACACCCAGTGAGGAGGCTGAGGCTGATGACCCTAGTTTTATTGAAACAATTCCTTGTCAAGTACCTGAGTATAGTAGAGGTGCAACTATTGGTAGATCAAGGGGAAGGGGAAGTCAAAGAGGTAGGCCTAAAGGAAAAAATCCTAGTTTAGTGGTACCTAAGCCTACTAAACGGTCTAAGGGCCAACCTAAAACAGCTAAGAAAAAGAAAAAACAAGGTTGGAAATGGACCAACACCATAGAAGACAATAGTATTTTCAAAATACCTTTTACAGGCTGTCCTGGTGTCAGGGCAAGCTTAGCAAGAAATTTAGGTCCTTCTCCATCTGAAGTAGAAGTATTCAACGCGTTTGTCGAGGATGATTTTTGGCAACATGTTGCTACAGAAACAAACAAATACGCCGAAGAGACAATTGAAAAAAATAATGCAAGTGGTAAAGATAAACATCTACTCTCTGAATGGTTTGAAACAACTCCTGATGAAATGGCATGTTTTTACAGTCTATGTGTTTTGATGTCACTTGTGAAGAAAAGGACCATTCAATCGTATTGGGCCCCTACTGCTACTACTGAGACTCCGTTTTTTCGAAAAGTTATGCCTTTTCGTAGGTTTTTGCTCTTATCAACAATGTTCCATATTTGTGATAATAAAAATAAGCCTCAGAATGACAAACTGTGGAAACTGAGGTATGTCATTGATTACATGAATCAAAAGTTTTCACGGTTATATTTGGCCGATGAAAACATTGCAGTAGATGAAAGCTTGATGAAATTTCGTGGGAGGTTGGGGTATGTGCAATTCAACCCCAAGAAAAGAGCCAGGTTCGGAATCAAATTTTACAAATGTTGTGAGTCAAGCAGTGGATACTGTACAAAATTTAAAATATACACCGGTGCTGAAGTGAAACAAGGCGAAACAGTGGAAGAAGGGGGTGGAGACACTGCTGAGGGTGATAAACTTTTGGTGAGTGAGGCCATTTTTTTTTGTATTATATGGTATAAAAAAATAATAAAAATACTTTTAACCAATAAAATGTTTGTTTTTTTAAATCTAAATTCAATTCTGATTAGAAAAATAACAGTATTTGATATACAAATACAAAATTCTGAGTGCAGGTAAAAATATTGTAAATTGTGTAAAATTAAACAGAAATAATTCATTTTTTTTGGCCCGGTTAGGTGTAAAAATAAGTTTAAGCGAAGGGGTTAAGGCTATTTACCAAATAAAAATATAGGTAGTCATTGAAATGGTCAAGGAATGTTCCGGTAATGGTCATACCCTCACAATTGACAACTGGTATTCCTCACCTCTCCTCTACTATAGATTGAAACATATTGTTTTCAATGTGATTGGGACGGTAAACTCTTGGAGGACAAATATGCCTGACAGTTTCAAAAGTGGAAAACTTGAGGTCGGTGATTATGAAGCTGCGTTTAGCCATGACATGATGGCCCTTAGATGGCAAGACAAGAAAGAAGTGTGTCTCTTGTCTACTTTCCACAGTAAGGGAGACAAAAAAACAACTGGAAAGAGAGACAGAGTCAGCGGTGAGGTGATTACCAAGCCTGAACCCATCCTCTATTACAACAGCTCGATGGGCGGTATCGACCGAGAAGACCAACAGCTTGCTTCTTTTCCTACGATGAGGAGATATGCTAAAGGGTATAAGAAGATTTTTTTTGGACATAGCTCTCTTCAACTCTTATGTTGTTTTTAAAAAAATCACCCAGAAGAAGATAGGATTTGCTGAATTCAAAAGTAAATTTACGGAGCAAGTGTTCCAGACCAGACAACTACCGGCCTACAAACGAAGAGGGCGGCCATCAACATCTGAAACCCCTCTACGGCTTCAAGCAGCTTCTTGGGGTCATTTCCCAAGACAAATCCCACCTAATGAAGTAAAGCAAAACCCATCAAGACGCTGTAAAGTTTGTAGTGCACAAGGGAAGCGGAGTGACAGTCGGTGGGAGTGCGAAATGTGCCTTGTTGCGCTTCACCTACCCGAATGTTTCAAGACATATCATACTAAGTTGAACTTTGCTTGATATCTTTTTGAGTCTACAACATGCCAAACAGTATTTTAAGGCAGAACAGTAAGATATTTTTAACTTTTATAGTCAACAATTTTTAAAAAAGGCAAAAAAAAAAATTTTTTTTTAATTTTTTTTGTATTATATGGTATAAAAAAATAATAAAAATACTTTTAACCAATAAAATGTTTGTTTTTTTTAATCTAAATTCAATTCTGATTAGAAAAATAACAGTATTTGATATACAAATACAAAATTCTGAGTGCAGGTAAAAATATTGTAAATTGTGTAAAATTAAACAGAAATAATTCATTTTTTTTGGCCCGGTTAGGTGTAAAAATAAGTTTAAGCGAAGGGGTTAAGGCTATTTACCAAATAAAAATATAGGCATATGGCACATCAAAATGAACCTTAGAGTGTTTAGATTTGCCGCAAAGTATTTATACGGACAAACTTCCTAAGGGCTCTTCCCCACGGGCTGATTTCCAAAGGGCTACGCCTGGCATGCTTCCAAAGTTTACATGATTTAATTTAATTCAGTAATGAAACAGCTGGTCAGTACAATGAAGTGGTGTTTGTTTATTTACTCGAAAAAGATGTTTGTGACGCTTTATGTAGATTTAGGAGGGTTATATTTGGTTTTAAAGAAAGGTTGTATACATTTTTTAAAGCATTGCTCAACATTCTGTAATTTATATAGTAAGCTACATGTAAAGAGTCTTGACTAAAGTTGAAGAATACATTATGGTATAACATGTAAAACATGAATTTGCTGCAGGAGATTTTTTTACCTTAGAGCAATTGTATTCTTTTATTATTGATGTAGCATAAATCATAAACTTTTCTATTCTAATATAAGGCCGCGGAGGAACAAAAGTGGCAACATCCCTGTCAGGGCAATCCAGAACAACTTTTGCACTGATTTACAATGGAGCGTAGGCATATGCGCAATGTTAATGTTTCCACATTTGTTATTACCATTGTAATAATTGTGGATGTTTATAGGCATGTACTGTGGATGTGATGCTCCCTGGTGTGGATTGACGTCCGCACTAGTTAGGACTACAGCTATCCACAGTACTATCCTGATAATTAGACCAATCCGTTAATTACTAGAAAAAATGTTGTTCAGATTCCTTTATAAACTGTTGGTCCCTTATTTGTCATTGGCTGTATGGGCTATTAACAGCTGTGTCTAAGGATTGTGTCGGTCTTAGTCACTAACAAGACTACAATATCGCTCCACTCATCCTTCACTGATATTTGGGTTAAAATACGCAAATAGTGGAGTCACCACCTTAAATACTTTTTTTATACTTTTCAATTAAATGGCGACCATACAAAGTAGGTACAAAGTGGTGCGATCTTGTGGTCTTGTAGTGACATATTTCTTAGACACAGCTGTTAATTAATAGCCCATACAGCTAATGGCAACTAATTGATATAATAGGCATGCCGGTGTGATGTTGCCACTCACCAACACCGTGGCCTAGTATTAGAGAAGGCTATGCATAAAGATGTGGTATTAACTTTAGGCCTACTTATATGATAATACCAGTAGCATATTCCGGTTTGCAATCATTTTGGAAAAGGCAGTTTTAGGGCAACCTCAGGTTACATCATTCTTTGTTAAGTAAGGTTAAGTTATACCATATTGAACATACAATACTCTTCCAAGATATACCACAGAAAATATACTACTATTACCTACTATTACCCAGAATGCTAACCTCGTGTTAAACACTGTTAAGTACTCGGAGAGAGCTTTGCCTGTCAATTCGTAGGCAGCGCCACCAGCATTGCTATGCCGGTGCATTGTATGCTGGTGGCTCTGCCTACAAATTGACAGGCAAAGCTCTCTCCGAGTACTTAACAGTGTTTAACACGCGGTTAGCATTCTGGATAATAGTAGTATGTTTTCTGTGTCAATACTTATATTACAATTTTCCCCCAGCTTTTCACTCTTCAGGCAAAATGCAATTTAGAAGGAATTCAAACACTCTACACCCCAGAAGATTTTACTTGGGTGGTAAAGGTAAGTCGTTTTAAATACAAATCCCTGGGTAATTCTGAGCAATTACTTGGTCAACCCCAAACTTTACTACGGTCATAAGAAAACAAGAAACATATAATGTCAAGCCCCGCAAGGCTAGGTTAGGTTAGGTTATTAAGTAACAATACGTTAGCATTAATTGTGGATTAATTAATTGAGGAATAAATTTTTAGGTTTTGAATTAACCTAACCTAACCTAACATAACGGTACCGGTAAAACTGTCACAACTGGCCTTCCGCGTGTCTCCCGCAAGCCACTGTTATCGCGTGGACTTTGAACCTGCATATCGCTCGGCAATCTGTGTGATGGTCTTGCGGGGCTTGAATTATATGTTTCTTGTATTCTGAAAACATCCTTATAACCGTAGTAAAATATGAAAAAGTTTGGGGTTGAACAAATAATTGCTCAGAATTACCAATCTTTGTTTCCTCTGGACTACATTTGAAAGAAAAAAAGGGATTTTTGCAATCACAATTTGTCCTCATACTTTTAGTTTTGTTGTGAACAAAGGTGGAATAACTCATCTATAGAATAAAAAAGTTTGTTTATTAAGAAATCTTTGAGTAAGTTCTTAAATTTTTCAATATTATTTTCAGACTTGCATAAAAAAAACCCAAATATGTTGGTTTTTTTCTCGTATATTTTTTATCAATGATGAGTTAGGATTATTTCATTTTTATGTCTTGTATTGGTGTTGTGGCATGTGGAAGATTTATAACTTACTGCCTCGTTTTTAGAAATAAGTATGCAGTCATAGATGTATTGTGCATTTTAAGATTTACAAAGTGTTTCTCTTTGGCTGATTGATGATAATTTTGTTTAAGAATAATTTGTATGGATCTCCTTTTGTTGTTTTAAGATACAGTCCAAATTTATTTTCCGTGTGGCTCCAAAAAGGCACCATCCAAAACTTTAGTGAAAGTGAATATATGAAAATAAATATGGCAAAATGTGTAGAATCCACAGTATAACGACATTTTCCTAAGAGCATATATTCCAGTGTTAATTCTTGTTACCACCTTACATGACCATTCCAATTGAAACTCTGGCACTCGGCACATTTGATTTGTTAATATCCGTTGAACTGGTTTGATTTAATTGTTTGTGATTTCTGCGGTCCTGTAAGTCATTACTGACTCTGTGGTTTTGAAGGATAAGAAAATTTAAGCTATAAGAAAGACACATTTGATATCAGTGCACTCAAGGTCATCAACATGAAATGCACATAAAAAGAGGATTACAATTTAACAATATAATGAGAAGTCTACTTGCATATATACGACTCTCTTCCACACACAGAGGTATTCCTTCTTTGTGGAAGATATTTCGCTAATTTACAAAGCTTTTTATATATCTATGTTTATATTAAATTTGTATATTATTAAAAAACCAAACAATATTGTAAAAAAATTTTTATGGGACTAACATGATGTAATTTGTAAATATTTTGGCGGAATAAATGCTTTTTTGATTTGATTTGACTGTCAATGCTTATGATCTGTAATGGCAGGTGAAATGCTCTGCCTGTGGAGAAGAATCGCCCAACTGGCACACAGTAAATGCCCAGGATTCTTCGGAAGGCAAGGGTGGAAGAGGGTCTTTCAACTTTGTCTACAAATGTAAATTATGCAGTAGAGAAAACAGCTTAGGTGAGTTTTTTTACTACTGTTGAATCTATTTTGTAATTACTCTACTTGCAAAAAGTTCATTGGTTACTGCTAGAGTTTAAAATTATTATTTGTACGAACCTAACACAGTGACATTTTGTTGAAAGAGAATCTAAATGCTTTTAAGGAAAAACTTTCCAAATAATTCTTACACCTAAATTCGAGACAACTAAGCTAGCAATACACCAACAGATTTATTTGAAAATGGAATTTATGTAAAAATTTAAAAGCCAATATTCAATTTATATTTTGATTTTATACGTTCATACTTTATGGGGCAAATGGCCAGGTCACAAAGAATCAAGACGTGTCAGGGGTTGGATTATGTTACCTTTTCTTCTAATCTAATACATTGTTGTAGTAGTGATAATAATACAGTACTTACTTTGTTTGAACCCCAAATATACTGACAAATACAATCATAAGCATCTGTAAAATAGCATTGACAGTGCTTTATTCCATAATCAAATGTTGCATTGATAGTATTTCACATGCATACCATTGGCATTTTTTCAGTTTTTTGTGATGCAACAGTAGTCTTGTTACTATTTATTTTTATGACCCATTGTTGAAAAGTGCTGTTCATGAATAGTCAAACGGCAAACGGAAACTAGTTTCTGAATCAACCATTTATTATAACTTATGATCAAAATTTGGATTTCAAGGGGAGCACGGAATGCTCCGGGCCTCATATCCAAGTCAACTAGAAGAGGCTTTATATACAACTTCCTTGGAAATGACAACTACCAGTAACAAAAGTACCTACAGCGATATTCAAATTCAAATCAATTTATTTCAGAAATAAAAACATTACATTGATTACATTGAAGCAAAGCAATGCTTAAGTGCAGGGACCGAGTCGCAACATCAAATGAATAGTAAATTAATTTAATGTTGAGCACCATCGTTAATTAGATTTGTACAAGACATCATTTCTTTTATGCTTAGTGGTTATGGCTTACTTTTTTTACAGACATAATTTCAACCTCGGTGAAAAGAATAGAGGCAGAAAAATGTAGACATTTTTCACCGTTGGTTACTTTTGACTGCAGAGGTCTAGAGCCCATTGAATACAATCCTGGGGTAAGTTACTTATTTGTTTCTTAGTATTATTACATGCTTACACTGAGCGTAGGATAAGTACTTTTTTTCAATGTGGCAACTGAAAAAGCTTTATTGATTTATTTTGTTTTTCAAAATAAATGTGATTCTCAAGATTTAATTGTTAATTTTTGTTTGGTCGTGTAGAAACACTTTTCTGGATTTTAAAATAGACTTTAAAATCCTACATGTTTACATATTTATCCTACATATTATAGCTACATACTACACCAACGGAAATATGCTTTGTCGGACAATATTAATGGGACAACACATTAAAGCACCCTAAACCTTTCCTCCCTGTTCTCCTATTGACTTCAGTAAAAATGTTTTTCTAAATTTGATTTCAGATGGGATGGATAGCAAAGGCTGAGGAGAGTGGAACTTGTTTTCGAGATATCGACCTAGGGGAAAAGGAATGGGTTGATTATGATGAGAAGGGTCAGCAATCTGTAGGTGTTTATGAATTTGAGTCACAATTTAAGACTGATAAAAGTAAGTAAAAAATTATATTCAATTTGATTTTTAATAAAAATGTATCATTGTTTATTTACCTTTTTGTGATAATCATTACCCTCATACTTTTACAATCAGATATTTTATACTGAAAGAGTAGAAATAAACAGACTTAAATACAGTAGACATCTAAAACACATCGCTCATAAGAACAATGGTAACATTTTGTCTGAGTTGTTTGATACCAACTTGCTTCAGATCCTTGTACGCAGCACTAGACTATAAATTAAACCAGAAAGAGGTACAACCCCAGAGGTCCATTTGAAACTAGTCTAAGAAGTTTGAGTAAAACACATTCTGACAGTAGTCTTCATACATTTAGGCAGAACTGAAAAACTTGTAAGTATGTAGTTTTCAACAGCAATTTTACAAACAAGTTTCTTACTACTTACTACTTGGACAATTTTGAGTCTCTCATAAAATTCATGTTACAAAGCACCGTGATTTTTTTAAATAGCTTTGTCTACAACTGTTAAAGATGTAATTTATTCATATTATAATGTCCATAATAGTTAACTAGAGTCTAAACCTTCGCTAAATCATCACGATGTTGCCCCCTGGCACTGCGGAGTGGGGGAAGCAAAGCATTCTATTGGCTGAGGGAACACCATTACCGCAACGATACGGTTTGTAGGCACCGGCCTCGGTGGTCAAATGGATAACGTGCCGGGCTGAGGATCTGAAGGTACCAGGTTCGAATCCTCTCGGTAGCACTAACTTTTTGTCTAAGATTTTTGCATTATCAGCAAGTTTGGTTAGTTTGGTTAGGTTATGACAGTTTAATTTGTTAATTAAAACATTATAAAATTCAATTTGAGCTATTATAATTTTAGAACTATTTTTTTCTATTAGTAAACCTTGTTCGATTTTTCATTATCAGCAAGTTTGGTTGGTTTGGTTAGGTTATGACAGTTTAACTTTATAATTAATAAATTCTAAACATTGAATTCAAGGCATTTATAATTTTATTTTATAAACAGAACTATTTTTTCGATTAGTAAACCTTCATTCGATTATTATTTTATATATTTTTTTATATAATCAGCATGTTTGGTTGGTTAGGTTAGTTTATGACAGTTTAATTTTATAAATATTCATTTTTTAACTTATTGAAAAACTGCAGCATAGGTTTATGCTTGTAAAACAACGCGGGCTTGTTTGGACGCCGTCTAGAGGGGAGGTGGAGGGAGAATCATTTCCTCCACTTTGCAGCGCCAGGGGACAACATTGTGATGATTTAGCGAAGGTTTAGACTCCAGTATAATAGTTATGTTAGAAAAGAACATATGATGTTTCCTTGGCAACAGAGTTTAGTTGTTTGATATATTTTGATGAAGTAAGATGTATACACAAATCTAAGTTTTTCATTCTATCAGTTTTACTATTAAATTAACTTAATTTTTGATCCACAAGACGACTTGTTATTTTAGACGATATTTCCAACAACAACCAAACAAAAAAAGGTTTTTAATTATCACTTAAGTTTTAAAAGATAATCTACAAGTTTTAAAACACCTTCTTGCACCTAAATATACAAATTTATACAGTCTTACCATTGACTAAAGACACAGTTGGTAAATACCACACACCCTTTGTAACCTACATGTTTTGGGAGTCTAGATGCAAAGACACTGGTTGGATTTGCCTATATAAACCATGTGTAAGTGTTGAAAGGCCATTGGTTAAGATCAGCTGGGTCAAGTGTAGAAATACGCTCCAGCTTGGACACAACTAGAATTATCTTTTGATACCCAAATCTGAATCGGAAGAAGGCATTTTATAATGGTTAGGTCAAACAACATATGCTCCTTTCACACTATACAGATTTTGCCATCCAGTTATAAACCGTACGATGTTGTGCCGTGTCAATGTTTCTTTCATATTTGACAGTTTCTGACTGTTCTGCGAGATTGAAATGTGCAATTTCCAGTTCGCTAACAAAAACAATTAACTGTGAATAACTTTTGGCATTGTGGTTGTTTCATCGACGTTATAAAAAGCGTCAAGGAATCGTCTTCAATGGATGTATTAAATAAACCTCATTGTAAATTTTATCCTATAGGTTTTAATTCAATTAGGTCAATTGACATTTTGGCTTCTATATAAGACATAGCTAACAATATTAAAATGTAAAGAAAAACACTGTAAATGGTAAACAGATATACACAATAGTCAAAATACAAGTAAACAGTGGGACAAGGATATTTAAAAATTGACAAGGACATTCTCACTAACCCTATTCATCATACGGGTACATATATGATTAATGGAGAATTTAATTTCATTTGAAGGGGCTGGTGGGCTTCCGTCCGACTAAAAACCGTGCAGTGTGCAAGCTTGCATTTAACTACATAATCCACTAATGCAAGGCAAAGGCACAACAATAATGCTAGGCACTGGCAAGTCAACCGTCTGGTTAGCAGTTGCTGCACGACAGCACAGTACTCCGCTGCCATCAAAATTTTGTAATTTGAAGGCTGTCGCACTCTTCCACACATTAGTACAAAGTTTTCTTGTACGGTTTTTAACCTGGCGGCAAAGTATAGTGTGACAGGAGCGTTACAATATTTTCTTTCTAGACGGGTATGGGATATCTAATGGAGTAGCCTATGGTACGGCTTATCCTATAAATGACGGAGATGTCATGTTGCACCCATGATGACAGGCTCCTCAGCCAAATGACTAAGGTCATTCTTGTCGTTCTTGTCCCATGATGTCAACTGTTGTGGCAGGTTGAGTACATGTGGCGCGTTTGCTAGAACGTTTTTTCCGTTGTTTATGATGTTGCGTATCCAGTCTGTGAAGCAGGAGACCTCAGTGTAAACACCTGGCAGTTTAGGCCGAGCACAGCCGACGCCCCAGCTGACGATGCCACAGAGGTAGTAGTGTCCGTCACTTTGTGTACAGGCCAGCGGACCCCCTGAGTCTCCCTGTAAGGATGAGAAGTAAATTGATGTTGTGTTAGATCTATAGGCTCAACAACCCAGGGTGAGTTTACAAGTTTCTAGTCGGTGAATAAAAAGTAAAGCTTGTCGGTGGGTATAGATAGAACTACACATTCCATTCCCATGTTAAAGTTGTGGTCAGTTTTTTGATAAAAATTGCAAATGAGGTAGTTTAATTGATCACATGTTATTTTGCTTACCCCAACTTTTTTTGTAAGTCATGTCAATTATCAAATAATTTTTAAAAATACAGGAGAAAATGGAGTTTGGCCTGTTGCAAACCCTGTAAATGGCTCATTCAAATATATTCTACTAGAATTAAAAATTTGCTTACGGTGGTCCACATAGACAGGACCAAAAGAACAAGAACGCTGTCCTGACTTAATCTTAAGCTTGAAGAAGATAAGAAACACTCAAAATCATTCAAGTTTATCCAGCTCTACAGATTCATGTCAAATTAGATCAAAATTGGACCAAAATTCCTCAATTTATCATTTTTTATGGACACATATGTACACACACATATAAGTATGTAGGATAGGATATCTTTTTTTTCAAAATAGATAAATGGAAATTTGAACGAATGGTGTAATTGTGTTTTTGATCAAAATGAAAATTGAAAGGTCTTAGCTTGCCTACGGTAGTTGCTACTTCCCTGTAGTTAATTCGCTAAAACTAACATAACTAACTTGTATAACTAAAATATATCTTGTACCTGGCAAGAGTCGAAGCCTCCCTCCTCAAAGCCACTACACATTTGGCAGGTATGAGTGAACTTGCTGTAGCCCGCTCGCTTGTACAGTGAGTGACAACGTTTGGTGTTGAGTATCGGTAGAGTCACATGCTGCAGGATGTGAGGTAGGGAACCACTCTCACTCAGCCGTCCCCACCCAGCCACTGTACTGTCACCTGTCACATTGACATTGTTTTGTTAGTGGCAATGACAACTTAATCCACTATCACCTTTACCAGCTTCTATAATAGAGTAAAGTCTATCTAAACCTCCATGTTATCTTGTGATATGACTCTCCTTTTGTTGTATCATCTAGTACCGTCGGACCATGTCTTTTTTTTAGCTAGACTGTACACCATAGCATGTGCATTGTCATCACCCTAACACTGCCACCCGGACCCGACTGTACTCAGAAGATATGCACTAACCTTCACTCACCTTTATTTGACTTTATTGTAGACTGCCTATTACACACTTTAACTCCTCATATCTGCAATCCTCTTTCCTACATGCCTTAGTCTCGGGGAATATTGTGGAGTTGCAATCTCAGTACAAGTTGGAGGAAGATTTGCTTCTAAAAATACTTTGAGATTTGGTGACAAAAATATTGAAAGAGCTGGAAAGCAATCAGTTGAGAGCATTTTTGAGTTTAAAGTAATTTTTTACACCTTATATTTCACATTTTTTTCAAAGTGTCAAAAGCTAAGAAAGAAAATAGCACACTCTGTAAGCGGCCCAATCAACTATGTACTATTGGACTGAAACATTTGCCAAAACATACATGGGGTGTAGACTCTAGTATCCCAAAGTCAATGCTACAACACTAAAAAATTATCCAATTCTTAACATTAAATAAACAGTAGTAATTAAATCAGCGAATTTGTATACTAACCTACAAAAACAACTAATTTTTTTTTATTCATGGTTTTTGGTTCATGGTTTACCTTGAGGGAATTTAGTGATCGCAAAACTAAATTGAGTTAAATATTGGATCAAACTCTCATATGTGATTTTTTAGAATAATATACTGAAGATTTGAAGTTTGTACTTACCTTTGAGAAACTTAGTGCCTGGCTCTGGGAGACAGATAGGTGCGATCCACTTTCCATCTATCTTGAGTGGAGCGGCCAGTTGGAGCAATGCGATGTCATTGGTGAACGAGTCTCTGTAATATCCGTTCACAATGACTCTGGCAACTTGAGCTCGCTGTTCATGACCTGTAGTCAAATTATCAATAAAAAAATGTTCCTATCGGTTTTTTTCACCGTATTGGTTTTCTAATCTCCAATACATTAACAGCAGGTGGAATAAGCTGAGCTAAAAGCATTTTTCCTACAGTCACCCGACAAAGTTGGCTTCCCTGTACTGTTTATAGTACAGAAAGCTGCTAATTGCTGCATATTTATACTTTGCCGTACGGTTTATACTTTGCCGCACGGTTTATACTTTGCCGCACATCAGGATTCCAACCAAACAATACAAAACAGCGTGGTTTTATTATGCACGTAATCCGTGTACGCTTGGAAATAGGTTGGCAACACTTAAAGATAATAATACTATGAACAGCTGATTGACTATTATAACTACGATTTAACCTGTCATTTCGTGTTTATAGTTTTGGTATTTCTGAACTTTCTGGACTTTTCTTTTAAACGTTTTTAAAACATTCCTACGGTCTTAATAAACAAGAAAATACCTTTAAAGCATTTTTTTTAGGCGCGGAAACCACTTCAAATTACAAAAACATACGGAACTATATTCTCAAAAGACGGAGCACATTTCTTGCCGAGGAAAAATAGCGGAGTGATACGGACCACGGGTACTACTTTCTCCAGGGCACCATTTGTGTAATTGTGTTGCTAGCTGAACCTAAAAACGTGTTGTATAGTGTTTGAAAGACTAATTATTTATGTTTTATAGTGACTGTAGGAAAAATATAATGTGTAACACGAGTGAAAAAGGCCTTTGCTGCACTCGAGATCATTCCGCACGAGCCTGCGGCTCGTGCGTAAACATTGCTCTCGTGTGCAGCAAAGTGCCACTTTCACCACTAGTTACACAAATAACTATTTACACACTGTCAAAAATGTTGGTTGATCTTGTCAGGGCACTACTTCTTGTTAGTAATATAATAAGGGCTAGGCATGGTTTTCTATCCCCATCTTCACACCCTAAAACACTAGACTCCAGCCTGCAACAGTTTCACGTTACTTCAGACTAGGCTTAGAAGGTCGCGTTATTATCAAAAAGATAAAATCCTTTGGTGATTGGCAGGATTTGAACCCGGTAACTTGGGGACACCGAAGTCATGCGCTCTACCACTATACCTACCTGCTTGTTTCCCGAAGGCTTGGTATATTAGGATTGTCCAACGTGAATATTTTTTAGTCATGACAATAATAATGTATTCCATATTTCAAATTTACAGAATATTTTTATCCCTGTTTCCACAGTCCCAACACTCATTACCCACCTAACTATAATGATACGAACTTGGTAATGATCTAGTTTGACCTAAATTACCAGCTTGAGGCACCTTCAGGTAAGTAGAGGTCGTGGTCGCCAGCTACGATGGACAGTTTCTCTGGTTTGAGCTCCCAGATACAGTGGGCCGCTGTGACGACCCAGTAGGCAGCCAGGACTGCCCCTCCGCAGATATATCTGGTCCGGCCTCCGACCTGCAACTGCAGCGACACTTGCCACGGAAACTCTCCTGGGAACGATCACAAAATCATAATAATAAATCATGGCAAAAGCTTTTACGAAAAATATTTATCTTTAATTTAAAATGTGACATTATTGTTTTTCTTGGCACTCTAATTTCAAACAGGAAAAAAATTGGCTGAATTAAAATGGTCTAGTGAGACTAACCTTTTTGGGTTACAGCTCTATAGGCTTTGTGTCAGCCGATATATCAGTCAATTGATCCACTCGAACAACTGAGGTGTGACAAGGTTTTTTGAGGATAAAAATTGATTGGGTAACAATTTACCACTTGTGATTTATTTCAAGTTGCTTAATAAAGTGGCTTTTGAATTTCTCAGTGTCTGAATAACAACCTTCTTTCACTTACAATATAAACTTAATAAATACTTAAAGGCTCTTACCAGGTTGAGCGTCAGATCCTCCGACAATCCTAACATCATATAGGGTTCCCCGAATCCCACAGGATCCACTGAAACGTGAAATTTATAATTATACCATGTCTGGATCTACCTCCACATGATGCGAAAGTCATTGAGACTGGAGGGTCAGTATGGTGACTCCAACTTTGATAATGTTCAGAAAAGGAAAAGAAACTACATTGGGGTGGGAAAATGATAGAAGGGATCTTGCCGAACACACTTGTTTGTCCAATGTCGTCTAGTCCCAAATATTTTGGAATACTGCTGGAGCATTTTCTCCAGGGGGGTACTGAAAGAGAAGATTGACACATGTGATGTTCCATCCCATCTAAACCCAGTGTAACATCGTGGATGAAGTGCTATCTCTGGTGTATGAAGGTACCCTCTTGAAGTATGGCAAACAGGGTTTTCGAGAGTGCTTATAGTGCCTGAACCGATGGGTGGGGGAGAATCCTACACACATAGATAAATACACTACGACCTGATGGTGCATATTTCATTTTTCTATCATAAAAAAACCACCCTTGGATCCACTGTAACATAAAACATACAGTTAATGGATAGATGATAAAGATTATATCAATTATTTAAGATGGGGCGCCACTATGTGCATGTGTATCATCCTTTATTACTAGGGTCTGAGTGTCTGTTTTGCTTGATAGGACATAATGTCTTACCTCTTTATTAGCTTTCATTAATAGTTAAATAAAAAAATAAAAAATAGAGTAAATGACAAATATGTTGCAACAATAAGCCTTACATTCCCATTTTGTTTGCTCTGAGAGATTGTAGCAAACATTAAATAAGATCTTCCAAACTGCATGAACCCAGATCATACCTGGAGGTGCTGTTGTCTTCGGGAGGTTTAGGCTTGTGTGAGATCTGCGTTTGTGTGTGTTCCGGCGTGTGAGATACTGGGTGCGTTGTAAGATGAGCTGGTAACTGCGTCTGTGTGGACACGGGAGGTGGTGGGGGTGGTGGTGGTGGTTTGTTTGCAGGTTTAGGCTGCGTTATCGGTCGTGGAGGTTTCTCTGGTGGTTTTTGCGGAAGTTGCGTCGGTCGCTGAGGAATAACTGGTACGACAGTCGGCTGCTGAACCCACACAGGTTGCTGAGGCCATTGTTGCAGAACAGGAATAGGGACCGGCTGCTGCAAAGGCAACTGTGGCTGATTAAGCGGGTTGCTGAAATAAGAGAAATTTGGTTATACAAAGGTGTAATTAGGTACATAGGAATTTGTCAAAATATGGCAAGAAAATTAAAAAAAATATTTTTTGAGAAGGACGTCTTAAAAATTATAACTTAGAATGGTTACGTTAGATCTTGAATCTGGTAATTCATATTGTATATATTACAACAGATATTGCTGAGAACCCTACAATCTGCTTATTTGTTTAATAGTTTTGTAAATATTTTTCATCACATTATTGAACTGTCTTACCTCCGTATTATTAATGCCGTATTTTACAATGGCATTCTGTTAAGGCCAGGGTTCTTCTGACTAGTATTTGACGACAGCAGCTCCGTTTCTGATTCTTTTACCCTTTACCCCGTTTGCTTAGTTTAATTTTTCTTAGGCTCAGTAAAATCCTGTTTAGAAGCTTCAAAACAATATATTGATATTCACATGTACTATATAGACACTTGTTCTTCATAATCTTTTTTATCTGCTGACCATTTCAAAATAGGTAGGTGCTGTGTTAACTAAAGTTGGGTAGACTGGTTCATATACATCAAAGTAGCCACTGAACTTAAGGTTTCACGCTGTTGTTTCCTCCTCACAAAATGAACAACTCAACGGTATCAGCAATCTGACACATACTTTCTCCCATTAGCTTAGGCACCAACAACTCTTATCAAGGGTAAAGGATGGGAGTAACTTTGATTTTGATGGGGAAAATCGCAAAAGTTGCAATAACTTTCAATCATTTTAACTTTTAACTAACAATTTTGTTTATAGTTAAACGGATTGTAACGTACTAACTTTTAATAAAAACCGGCGAACTATTTTTTGGAATTCCTTTTATCTGTTGTTTTATGGGTGTTTATGGAAAAATCCCCAAGTTAAAAAAATCAAAATTAAAAAAGGGAAAACACCTCGAGATTCCATGGGTTACCTTCAAACCAAATGTACATGTCCACACACACACACACTTAACATCACTTCAAAAACCAGCAAAACAATTCAGACACAATCAATTTGCAAGTTAGGGAATTAGTGGTCAGTGAGGCTTTTAACTGTTATATGTTTAGATACTGTGTAAAACTTATTAAGGACAAACATTGACAATGGAAATAAGTAGACTTTCCAGTCAGAGTATTATGCTATCAATTATTCAATTATGTCTCTCTTTTACACCATTATCAAGCCAAAAATAAAAAGACAACTTGCACGTAAACTATATCATATTTTCTGTTCCGTATCATCAACCATAAGAGAATTGAAAACTTGTGGAGAAAATCAAAATTGTACAATACCAGACCAGTAGCTAATCGTTGAACTATATGTTCAATTTAAATAAACATTGGCTAGTGGATAAGATGTATACTTTGGTATCCATAGTCAATGGTTTTACACAGCTACTCACAACTGAGATGCCGGGTTCTGTGAGAAGTAATTTGACAGATCACCCAGCTCACTGAGGTTCTGTACAAGCACGAATGTGAAGTCATCCTGGCGAGGATTAAAGCTTTCCTGACTTCTAGCAGAACCTGCTGAGAAAAAAACAAATAAACACACAAATACTTTGTCATTTAATGATTTGTTTGTTTCTTGTGGGCCTACATCGACGAGAAAGAGATAGGTAAATCTATATAATATAATATGAGTAACGGTTGTGCACAATTATTTCAAATCGGCTGCTATGATTTTCCCCAAATTGTTAGAAATATCTTTAGTTTTAGGCTAAAAACAATATCCATGCCAGGCTCTGTTCTGGGAAAATTAATTTCTCGTTTAAAAACATAAAATGAAATTTTAATATTTTTAACATTAGTCTTATTGGTCTGATGGACTGTCAAGTAGCTATGACACAGTTTTACGAAAATGTAAACAAATTGATTGTAGCACATGCTTGTAACAAATCATCTACACTACAGTCGCAAATTACAAAATGCAGTACAAAGGAAAAGGACATTACTGACCTTACTGCTATTGAGCATTGTTTATATAATAAATTTGGATTTTATTATAATAATTGCCACTGTTCAGTTCAAAAACTTTAAGTGTTTTACCGCGAAACTATTCACTAATAATATTGAACTAAAAGTCCTAAAGGAAAGGCGAAGGACGTTTCTTAGTTTTCGACGATGCGTCGCTAGAATTGATGCGTTATTCCACGATCCCGTATTTATAGTTGTGACACTACGTGATCCCAGTGACTAACGCAATAACGGTCAATAGATTTTACGTATCATGAGTTTTTATATTGAAGCTTATCGTATAAATTGTATAGATTAATCGTTCACATGAAAAAGTTTGTTAGGTAAATTTAGAATGATGGATGTCTACCGAAAACGAATTGACTTTACATCGTAATTAATCGTAGCAAAACTGAAAATATGTGTAGGCTTTTATTTTTTACTCCTTGAACAAATCAAACACCTCGAACAATGGAACAATGCTCGGTCCCCTGGTAGGCTACTAATATAAAGCACCAAGCAAAAAATAAATAAATAAATAAAACCGTTTGTTTATTTTGATTTCAATCTCTCACCCAAAATAATCCAATTCACAAAACACCAAATGTTGTAAGAAAATAATCCATTTTAAAAATTAATAGAATTGTTATTGAACGTACAATGTCACAGTTATTTGATAATAAACGGAATCAGCAATCTGATACAAACTTGCTTCCTTTCTCTTATTAGCTTGTCAACAACCCTTTATCGGTAAGCGGTGGGAGTAACTAAAATATTTTAAGGGAAAAATCACAAAAGTTGCAATAGCTTTTAAACCGTAATTTCTAAACCAGTGGGTATTATTGTGCCATTTTTTTTTTCTAAGTTAAATGGGTCATAACATACTATATTATAATCAAAATTGTTTGAGCCGATTTTGTGAAAGTCTTGTTTTCTGTTATTTAATTGTGTTTTACGAGAAAACCAGCATTACAAATCAAAATCTCAAAAAAACCTTGGAGATACCATGGATTAGTACCTTCAATTCGAACAAAGGTTCATCAAAATCGTACCACAAGCGTAGTCTGTAGCTCTGTACACACACAAAGATATCTCTTCGAAAACCACTTTCGTCGAATTAAAAATGTACTGGTATATTTCTACCCAAAATAGTTAGTTTCAGCTCAAACTCGAAAATGTTGACGAAATAGTTATTTGTGTAACTAGTGGTGAAAGTGGCACTTTGCTGCACACGAGAGCAATAGCGTTTTGAGAATATAGTACCGTATTTTTTTGTAATTTGAAGTGGTTTCCGTGCCTAAAAAAATGCTTTAAAGGTATTTTCTTGTTTATTAAGATCGTAGGAATGTTTTAAAAACATTTAAAAGAAAAGTCCAGAAAGTTCAGAAATACCGAAACTATAAACACGAAATGACAGGTTAAATCGTAGTTATAATAGTCAATCAGCTGCTCATAGTATTATTATCTTTAAGTGTTGCCAACCTATTTCCAAGTGTACACGGATTACGTGCATAATAGAACCACGCTGTTTTGTGTTGTTTCGTTAGAATCCTGATGTGCGGCAAAGTATAAACCGTACGACCAAGTATAAACCGTACGGCAAAGTATAAATATGCAGCAATTAGCAGCTTTCTGTACTACAAACAGTACAAGGAAGCCAACTTTGTCGGGTGACTGTAGGAAAAAACACATTATTCTCTTCTGCATTCTCATTCCATTGCAAAGCAAGGCATATCAGTTAATTTTGGACTTTTGGAAAATCAGCTGACTAATTTCAATGACAGGCAAATATACCAGGTGACCAGCTGATTCTTTTTTGTCTCAAGTAAAAATAACTTTAGTTCCGCAACGCATAATTTAACAGCCGTTGGCTCTGTATAACGAACAAGCTATTTCATGTACAGTATAATTTTAGTTTCAATCAACATATTTATTTTCCTACAGTTACCTAACAATGTACATGTTCTCTCACTGATTTGAGAAAGCAAAGTGGCCAATTCGCTCATCAGTGAGACAATGTTAACATTGTCTCACTCTAATTACTTTGTCTCACTCCAGATTTGCAACGTGAAGGCACGAAATAGTGAGCGCGTAACATGCAGGCAACGTCGTATGCGCGCGAAATACGTTGGCAGCACTGGCTGTAAATCAGCTGGTCAGCTGTTGTACTGTTGTATTTGTCACTTCGCATTAAATGTTATATTAGAAGTTCACTTCTGTGTAAAAATAGGTTATGTTTCTTCACAAATTTATTTGTTTTATGGTAACTGTAGGAAAAGTATAATGTGCAACTCGAGTTCAAAGTACAATTGCCTCACTCGAGAAACCATTCCTCACTCGCCTATGGCTCGTGAGTAAGGATTTCTCTCGAGTGAGTCAATTGCTCACTTTTCTCACTTGTTGCACAAATAACTATTGTTTTCTGTACTTACCGATCACAACAAGCACAAACACAAAACACAACATGACGTTCACTCAGCAACTCGGTTACTAATGAACTTCTATCATCTCGACGTTTATCTTAGAACAACGTTATGTTTCCAATAATGACATCTACTCAGGACGTTGTGTTAGAATTTCCAGGAAAACGGCGCTTGTTTGGCCAACAAATTACAAATCCAACTTGGACCATTTTGGGAGATTGTTAAGATTGGTGAGGATTATAGGTGTATTATCGCATTTAATTTAGGCCAAAGCATCGTTCTGCCTTTGTTTTGTATTAATCAACATTTTAACGTTAATCGTTGCGAAACAGTTTTTCGTGAATAACTGAACGAAACAAGAGCTTGTATTTGACAAATTGCGTTGTTTAATTCGTTTCCTTGAAAGTTTATTGTGCCGTACCAAAAACGTCGATTGGAAATCAATACCTACAATAAATTAATTCAATTTATACTTTTAGGTATTAGGTATTATAGTAAAGGTCCACAGTGATGGTGGTTTTAATTCTGACACCATTTAATAGTTTGCATTTTGAAATTTATTTATTGGAGTTTTTTTTTATGGTATGAGTGAAAAAGTAGGTTTACAGTAGCTTTCCTTTTTCTGTATGGAATTTCTTAACACAATTCATTAACAACATGATCATTTAAATTTTGAACAACTAAAAGTGATACATGCAATTCTGGGCTAATTGTAGTCCAAAAAGTGTAAAACATAAAATAGCTTCTTCTCTAAATAGAAATTCGTTAAACACCTTTATGACAATTTTAGCAACAAAACTATTCGGAAGGTCAAGTGAATGGATTCCTTAAAAATTATCATAGGTAATAAAAAACAAAATAGCTTTCTTTACAACCACATCCAGCTTAACAGAAGGTTTGTAATCATAAGAAACGCTGGTTATTATAATAAAAATAAACTACAACTTATGCTTACTTTTTCACCCCCACATTGGAGGATTTAAGAATCATTGGTAAGTAATTATATGATTTGACTTGCTGTTGCAAATTCGAAAGCTTCGAAATTTGCCATTCATTCAGCCTGAATAGTTCAAGCTGGTGACTAGCAGCTCGTTATTTTACAGTTAGGAACCAGGCCGATATCTTCAGGCTATAAACAATCAATTAACAAAGTTGAACGAACTTTTCTAATGTTCCTGTTCGTCAATTGTAAAACTACATCCCCTTGCAACGCTCTTAAAACGGATGGCGTCTTTGGCCTCTGGGAACCTGAAAACGAAAAGTAAATCGGTCTCGGGTCTATGGGTCTATGATACCTACGGTGATAGCTTTTCCCTGATGGGAGACTCGCTAAAACTCTTTTTTATATCTAAAACATTCCGGCTTTTTGTTAGAGGGACTCTTCCGATGCTCTCCTATGGAGAGGCACTTTAAAATGCATTTAATTTACTTAATCCATAAAATAAAAATAACAATTTTAATATTTCTAAAAACAGTGTTGCATTCGGAATCGTTTGCAAATATTACAGTATCTTCCTTATGAAGGACTGGTCAACATTCTTCATCCTTTCTCCATCTCCAGTTACGATTTATCACTCAACATATCTAAAGTGACAAGTGACAGACGGACAGACATCACTCTGTACCCAGATACCAGATGAGGAAGGAAGATAAGCTTGCCTAACACAAACAACAGTATGTTGTCCTGTGCACACTGCACCAAAAATTTTAAAGTGGTCATTAAACTTAATGTAATTTAAAAAATGAAACGTAGGTTTTACGTTTTACTCATACAAATTTATATTTTGTTTATATTTTTAAATAAAGACTAATTTTAGAGTTTACATTTCAATCTAGAAATTAAGTTTCATACATTGTAAAATAAAGGGAATCTTTGTGCCGTAGTATGTGTTTTTGAGTGAACAAGACGCTGACATTTTACACAAAATACTGTTACGAACCTAGACGAATAAAAACCTCAAAATGTAATTTTACAGTCAAAGTTAATTCCTTCAGACTATACTCCTTGTGAATCAACGTTTCGAGGCCAAGCTTTTAAAGTGCATATTAATTGATTAGACTACTTTTATCTCAACTAAAGAAAAATGTTTTAATCCGCTTTTTAGCCTGCATTTACTTTGGCTATGAATTCTGTGAGGTTTTAACTTTTCACCACACTACAGTACGATGTTATTAGCCGTTCTACAAACGTTTGTTGGAGGCCAAAAGCTACGTATTGCTGTCTAACCAGCTGTCATCGTCATTTGGGGACCGAGCAGGTTTTTACATCCCTAAATCCACTATACTGTATTATAAAAACTTCAAATTAAATACTCAATCCATAGCATTGCAATACATGGAATGTATTGTCACCGGTGCCTGGCAACTATTTATTATTATTTTTGCTGATTCCTCAAATTATCTCTTCACATAACCTTACATTTGTAGTTGTGTTGACTATTAATGTGCATTATTATTGTGGTGAATAGTGATAATAGGGTATAGTGTGGTGAAAAATAGCGTTCGTACCACGGACCGAAATAGTTTTGCAGCTCTCGATCGCGTTTTAAGTTCTCGACTTTTTCTCGAACTTAAAAACTATCTCGAGCCGGCTAAACCTCATTTTCGGCCCTAGTTACGAAATATTCTAATTATTCCACCTCACAAATTATGATGTTGTACAAACGGATGACAGCTGTTTAATGCGATGATTTAATGCTTCTTTAATCTTCAACTGTGTTACTGCCAATCTCAGTTATAGAGATGGATGGTGAGACAACAAAATTGGGAACCGCTGATTAATAGTATTTTCAAATCCAGTGACAATGAGTTTCAAGGTGTAGAATTTGTTTGGGAAAACTGAAGTACGTAATATCGGAAGCACAACTTATCAAACTATATTTTGATTCTATTTTCCCTTAAGTTTAGTTGAGACCTAACTTAATGTGGTACTTTCCTGTTAAAGGGAACATTCATTATTATCGATGATTTTTTCGATGTATCGATATTAAAAAATTGAAACATATCAGCTGACAAACTACGATAAATAAATATATTGTTCAGAATCAACAAACAATATTTAAAAAAAATTTGAAATGAAACTGTTCTAAACTAACCTAACAAAACTAACCAAACTTGCTGTAACATTTAAAAACTTGGTTTAATATTCTCCTATCGCCTTTTCTGTACCCTTAGTCATAATCGCGAACCTCTCTGTCTATTCGTGCGATCTTAATACAATCCTATAGTCCTCCTCTCCGATATTACCATTGACTATAATGGGAGTATTGCACGACGTCCAAAATATAATTCTTGAGCTGCCTGACGACGTCCAATATAATATATTTGACAGTTTCACGACTACTAATCTCGTGGCGTCCAGAGCTTGTAGAAAGACTACGTTTATTACAGTTGCTGTACTTTTGGTTGGACATTGGGAGATTTGGATGGAATCAATGACATAATTAACCTCAATGGTTACATTAGTTCACTTTTCCTCTGTTTACATTTCAAAAGGTTGTCGCAATTTGAAAGCTAATTGAAACGAAGCAAAAACAACATTTTGTGAAAAAGTAGTATAATTGGTATGCTGATGTTTAGATAACTTTGTAGTAATTCTTTCTGAATAGCAAAACAACTACTTACAATAAATATGTCTAAATATCCCTAAAATTGCAAAAAAATTAAGCGAGTTACTGAGGAAAAAGTTTAATAAAAGATTGTGTTCGTTTCAGTGATCGACTCTTTCAAGTGTATCGCTGCTTGAATGAATCGTACAATCCAATGACGTAACTGATCATAGTGCAAGAATAATCAAGTCCTAATACGGTATAACATTTCACCCAACTGATTATTGTCATTATCTCAATATTTCTCGACCGTTACACAGTTTAAACTTAGGTTATTGTTCCCAGCTGTCATTGACGTTGAATACTGCAAAATAGACTTTTACGCCACACTACATTATTTTGACGAACTTCCCACGCAAGGATTTAGTCCAGAAAACAGCTGTTTGCCGCCAGCTTATTCAAATGGGGTTTCATTGCGTACTACTGTTCTGCAATGAGTTTTACCGGACACCAATCAGCTGATTATACTGTATTTAGGTGGCAATGAGTGGTTGGTTATAAACAAAAACATAACCTCTACTTAGTTGGTCTTAGTGATTTTTAGTCCTTTAGTTGGTGGAAATATATAAGGATTTGTACAGAGTAGTATGGCGTAAACTATCGTACGTAACTCGTCCAAAATGTGTGTACCGGACTCGTATGGTAATCCCGTACTCGACTTCGTCTCGCACGGGAACAACCACACTCGTCCGGTAAACACTTATTTTCAGGACTAGTAACGTAATATACTATTTCATCATATTGTAAAATCTATGCGTGTCTCGATTTTTATAGGTGATGGCGATTAAATGTCACTCTCTCATTTTGGAATATATTTTACAACGAACCTTCTTTATAGCCTAGAGAACTATAGTTTACAATTAGGGCTTGTATCTGGTTGTATGCTTGTTGAAGTTACTATTCATGTCTTGATATGCCATTACCTTTAACATTAATTCAATTTATTAAGACGAATAGTTTTTTTAATATTGTTCGTCCTCTGAAAAGAATGTACCAAAGATACGCACGTTGAAAAAATAATCCAAATTAAGAGATACAGTAGTCATAAACACCAGGTAGCCTTTACACATACTTTTATACCAAACAAAGCAATATAATTTACAATGGAGTGAGACTTTTATGAGTAAACTGAATTTTTGCAGTATGTGCTTACTTCTGGGAGTACCCATAACCCAATTAACCAATGTCTACATATCTATGTTTTGGCAAAAAAAATTAAACAGAATTCACACCAATGTTCCCAATGTTAACCATAGTTTTGTTATTAAGTTGGTCCTTGAAATGTAAATGTGTACTTTAATAGGCTACTTTTAATTGAAATGGTGACCATACGAAGGTAGGCATTTTGAGCTGAGTATGAATGGAGATGAGTGTAGGATGAGTGGCGTGATCTTGTAGTCCTGTTACAGACTTTGGCCGACATGTTTCTTATAGACAGGACTGTTAATAATAGCCAGCCAGGCATCTTAAGGGACCTACAGTTTATGGTCGAATCCGAACCTCTTAGCTGTGTAATTTTCGAATTGTAATGTACATCATAGTTTTCAAATGTTTATCCTGCGAAATCAGTAATTGGCCTACTACATGAAAACTGTCACGCGGAATAAATTAATCATATCCTCAGCGCAAAAGGATAAGATTTTGTCCGATGATTTCTTACACTGATCTCTAGCTTCGCACAGGAAGCTCCGAGGATAAGACGATAAGATGTTCCAGCATCCCGTCTTATCACGCTGATAATGCATCCCAAGAACAAGGACATGTTTGGTGATAATATTTAGGATTGTAAATATGATGTAGTAACGAATAAGTCAAAACCAGGTCAAAATCTCGTTTAAGAATAGTTGACCTGAATCTAAAGAACGATTTCAATAAACTGAAACGAAGATATTTTCATCTGCTGGAGCTCTGTATGATTAAAAAATCAAAACAGTCTAAATGTGAAGTAATTATTTTGGAAAATATAGTAAAATAATTCGTGGCGTGTGACGTTTGTTTGGTAAAAAAACCAGTTTACTTACATTCGAGATTCGACCCATAAGATAAGTCATTACATCGAAATACATCACACACCCTAAATCTGGTGGTGGAGCTTAAAAAGGGAATGGAGGCAAAACAAGTGAATTGGTAATGTTTAAATTAAGTCATGACCTTCCCTTCTAACAATAATGAGTACCAAACCATGAATTAGCGGAAATATCATATCATATCTTTTCACAAATCTGTCTCCATGTATTTTTGGTTAGTACTAAAATTTACAATGAACTAAAATACAAGAAGAGAAACTGTGTTAGTCAAAGCATAGTTTCAAAATACACACAAACACTTCTTTTGAAGATATCGAAGCCGTATCTACAATGTTGGTTCAAGAGCGGCCCAAAATACTTCACATCAAAGCCAGACCAAAAGCGGCAAGAGCGGTTTACGGGATTCAAAACATGTGCTCTGACGAGGAAGTGTGAGATAACAGCTGGCTATCAGCTGATAACGGAGAGTTCAGAAGGCAAGGCAGGCAGTCAGTCCCTAGCCATGTGGCCGTGTACGTGCGCGTGTGTGTGGACGTTGGCGTGCGTGAGTGTCGTGTCAGGACTCGACTACGACGACAGTTTTGAGACTTTCAGTGGCTACAGCGAAGACTATCCAGGTAATGTGAGTGAGCATTGGGATACTTTGGTGAAGTTGTTGGGTAACTCTACAAATCTGAAACTTCTTGAGGATGAAAGTTCTAAAAATGTTTCAACTGAGACACTGAAAGGATTGAGCGACAGTGAGATTTGGAGTGCGATGATCAACGATGAGGGTTCAGAAGTGATGATGAACGATGAAGCACCTACACTAGATCAAGATTTTTCGCAAGAGAGTAACGAATCTTTGAACTCTCAAAAGCTTGAAGCGACTGACAAGTTTGCCCAGGAGAAAGTCCTGGACGGGTTGCTGGAAGATCCAGACGTGCAGAGTGACTCAGCAGGTCCAAAGGACGCCAAGGGTTCCTCCACTTTGGCTTTCGTGTTTGACACCACAGGCTCCATGTGGGATGACCTCGTCCAGGTGCGTCATGGAGCGGCTAAGATCATGCAGACGATGCTGGAGCGGCCTGACAAACCCATCGCTGACTACGTGCTCGTCCCCTTCCATGATCCACGTAAGTGACTTGCCATTCCTATAAAGTAGACGGGTTTAGAATAAGAGTAATCGCGGTTAAATGAAACCACCTGAACCACCATGATATGCTGTAAAAATTGTTGATTTCTGCACTACGGAATTTTAAACTGAAAGGACCACTTTCAGTAGGCTAAATAATGTTTGTGTCATCAATTAACTCTCAAAGTATCGATGGTTAGATAGTAATAACGATAATAATTTATCATTACAGTATGTTGAGACAAGGAAACTTTGCTTCGTATGTATCCTTCCTTTGACAGTGACAGTGTAGAATGGTGAGAGATACATTGTTGCGTTCCTACCATGATCAGCTGTTCCTTAGCTAACAGCCTGTGACTATACTTCGTTCACGATATTTAGGCGGTTTTTGGGGACGACTATCCCCTCCACTTGACTCTTACTTTTAAAATAATAGCTCAACAGCTGATTAAACATTACATTAAAAGAAAGTGGTGAGGGAACTTCTCCTCAAACCATATATTGTAAACGAAGTATAAGTTTACCTCTAGACAGTTTTCTTTTTGAGAAAAATCCTTTAACAGCTGTTAAAGGATGTATGTTTGATGTATTTTCTAAGGATAATTTCAAATCCATTAGTTTGCGATTTGTGGTCTTCTTAATTGTGCAATATACATATCCTTTTATTGTTACAGATAAATCATCTGGGATGCCTCATGGTTATGCAATATTTTTGAATTGTTCAATGAAGATGACAAGTTGTAGTTTTAGATAGAGGCAGAGACACTAGTTGGTTACAGATAGATAGAGAAAATCTGCATCATCAATAAGCAGCAAATATTAGACATTTTGTACATCTTCAGGTCAAATATTCAATTTAATTTAATGGTTTAAAATGTTGTTCTTTGACGAAGTAATGACCATCGATATATAACTACTACTGTAGTACTGTACTACTGTAGTGGTTATATATCGATGGTAATTCGGTACTTAACTAATCCTGTGCATTTTATTGCGTCTGGGTATAGAATGAATAAACACTATAAATCAATCTATTTTATGACCTGAGTTTTGACTTCCACACAACAAATATACCGTCCGAACATCACATAGTGCTACAGACGATACAGTAGCAGCCTTGGGCGATATGACCAAGAAAAATAATAAGGCTTATTGAGTTAAGATGAATTAAGAAAGTTGAATGGCCAAGGCCGGCAAGGAGCAATGTCCCAAACTATTTTTTCCATGTACAGTGTATACGGACTATTCAGACTATAGTCAAACAATTGACTAAGCGTATGTTTTATCTAAGGTCAAACTGAACCATTCGCAAAAAAACTATGACTACATAGATATTGGAGCAGACACGGAATGGATCATAAACATAAACAATGGGTGTCATTGACTCGAAGCATACTTAAAAAGAAAAAAATCAATTATAAATGCCAAAATATAAACAATACAGTATTTAAGTTCATTTGTTTACATTCGATCCAGTTACGCCATTTGTTGTTTATACCTTGAGTTTCCGTTCTATTATTACCCTAGTGATTAATAAAATGAAATTCAAATTCCCCGAAATTCGTCACTGTCAAAACCGAATTTCACAAATTCTTTCCGAGCCATTTTGTAGAGCTTGTAAAAACAAATAATTTATTACATTCAAGCGTGTTGTACACGCTAAATGGTTACAAAATATACCCCCGCCACAGCAAACCTGCCGACTAAGCGAATTTCCATTTATCTGAATAGATTTTCATTTAAATAGCTAAACTAAATTTAGCTAATTTAAATAACATTAAGTTGAAAAAGTACCTAGGTTTGCTGCTACAAGGAAACTGATGAAGTGTGTTTATTCATAAAATATTAGGCCTAATAGCTTAGTATAGAATAAATAAATTTGCCAAGTTTGATCAAAATATATATAAAATAAACAAGCAAACTACAACATTTTACAATAGATTAATCAGTGTGGCAGATTGCGTGTAATAAATATAAAGGTTACTTACAGTCTTCGCAATCCTGTTAGTTGAGCACTACGGCCGTTTCGGAGATAACTCCATCGTCGGGTGCGTAGTCATTATAATGACTACGCACCCGACGATGGAGTTATCTCCGAAACGGCCGTAGTGCTCAACTAACAGGATTGCGAAGACTGTAAGTAACCTTTATATTTTACAATATTCTCCTTAAGACACAGACATGGGAATTTACATGGGAATTTTTAGTTTACAATTTTTTGAATTTTCTCCGTTGCCAATAACTGTACAAAAACACTTTGATATACTAAATTATTTGTTTTCTTAAGCTCTTTAAAAAGGTCTAGAGAGAAATTGGTAAATGTTGTGGTTTGAAGGTTAAAAATGAGAAGACACATTTTTCACCCCATAAAATGGTTCCCATGATCCGATCATGCTGATTCGCGAACTCATTCAAGTTTATCCCGCCTTACACCTTTAAACCAAATTTCATCAAAATCGGACAATTATAACTCAAGTTATCGCGTTGACGGACGTATATATATATAAATTCAAACGAATGGTGATTTTGGCCTCTGGGAACATCAAAATGAAAAAGTAAATCGGTCCCTCGCCTTGGTCTTACCGTGCCACCTACGGTAATATATACTTCCCTTTTGGGAAATTCGCTAAAATCTCAAAAATGATAAATGAAAAGTCCCATGTAATTTTTATGGAAAATAATATTTAACTGTTGTTGATTACTTGTTCGGGGGTTCCTTGTAGAAGCAAACTTGTATTTACTAAACCTAACGTTATTTAATTAACGAATAAATAAGCCATGTTTAAGGATATATTTTAGTAAAAATCTGATCAGGCAAATGGATATTCGCTTAAGCACGGATCACGCTAGGCTGGCATCAGCGGCGAATTGAAAGAAGCCGCGACTGTCAGCTTAAGAGGGCGTTGGAGTGCGGCCATGTTGGATTTTTACCTCCATAAGAACAATGTTAAACTTAAACCCAGATATCTCACTTATTTGCCAATATAAAATTATGAACTATGTTTCAAATTAAAGGCATATTTGATACACATCATTATTGCGGGAGACTTTTTAACAAAAGTAAAGGGATTTCTAGGAATATAGAATGTGAAACCTATATATTCATCAATTTATTTTAGCTTTGCTAGGACGTCATAGAAGAAACTATTCCGCAAACATGATCCGAAATGTTATTCAGATTAAAATAAAATATATTTCAAATCATTAAGTCAAACAGTAACAAAAAAATATGCTTTTAAGTGAAGGCATGTTCCGCACGTTTCAATGGGAAATTGCCACTGGTTTGCCTGCGCTCTCCTGGCATCGTTAGTGTCAGCGAAGATTTTTAATCTGACTCCAACTTAATGTGACCGCAAAATTTTCAGCTGACACTGAGCTGACTCAGCCTGGATTGGTGAGCCGGTGATGCTGGTGCCAGCTGCTGATCACCAGCGGCTGGCGAACAGCCTAGTGTGGCCCATGCTTTAGTCTGCATTTTTTCTGCGGTGGGGTATATTATTTTATCAAAGAGATTAAAACTGCTTGCCTTTCGTAGTGATTATAGAGCCACTCATGACATTTATTGGCCTATCAGTCAAATATTTAAAACGTACTAATATTATTATTAAATCACATATTTCATATTCTACATTTCATTTCATTTTAGCAGGTTAGTAATAACAAGGAAAGTTAAAACTATAGTTCGGCCGCTTAGAAAACGACCTGCGCGCTAATGCTAAAGCAATGCTAGAGGAGGTCGCTTTCTAAGCGGCCGAACTATAGTTGAAAATTGTCCGTGGATAACAAAACAAGCAGAACAGTGGCATAATTAATCCTTTGAGACCAAACCGTGTGTAGGTTATCTAAATTGAGTACGACTTTCAATGGTATTGGCATCACAACAAACATTCTCCGTCTTACACCTCAGTACATAGTAAGTCCATTGATGTGAAGAGAGCAGCACTGTAGGAGCACGGCAAGTGGCGCTCCTAACGGAGATTAGTAGAACTACTAGCGCAAACTTAATCGATTGAGATAAGTTAAAACCAGTTAAACTTTTAATTGTTTTTAAACAAGCGAATCTGTAATCTTACTCGTTGATTTTACGTAAATTCTTATCTTATTTGCATTATTATTTAGACACCATTTAAGTACGGTAAAGTTAATCAAAAATATTACGTGTGAAGCTGAAGTAGATGTTGGTTTCGATAGTACCTCGACTGGGAGTCGTGGCGTACTCCTGTAATCCAGCTACTTGGAGGTCGGGTGTTGTGGATGGTTTGAGGCGGGGGGTCCTGGACTCAGTCATCCCATGTTGACTGGACGTCCGCACTAAGCTCGCCATCAACATGGGTACCCGGGAGGAGTCCTGGGTGTCCAGGTTGGCTAAGGAGGGGCGAACCGGGCCAGGGGGGAAACTCAGCAGCCAAAAGTCCCCGTGGTGAGCAGTAGTGGGATAGCGACCGGGAGTGGGAACTGGGTTTCAGCCTCGCCAATACAATCAGACCAACATCCTATTTTTATATTTTAAAAATATTTCATTTTTAATGTTTAAATTTTTTTTATCTGCACTGGAATAGGAAATTTTTCATATACCATAATACGATTTATTTCTGTTCGGATCCCTATTGTAAAATTATTTAAGCTATCTCTTAATTTTTATATTTTAAAAAATATTTCATTTTTTATGTTTAAATTTTTTATTTACACTGGAATAGGACATTATATAATACCATAATATGATTTATTTCTGTTCGGATCCCTAAAGTAAAATTATTTAAGCTATCTCTTAATTTAAGCGCAAATTTAGAAAAATATGAAATGTTCACTTAGTAAAGACAATTTGTGTAGGTAATATAATTTTACTTGTCTGCAATTGTATTCCATAGCAAGCGAAATTGAATCTATTTCTCTATATAATTCAGTTTTAAAAATCTTTGTACAACTAAATCTAGAGTTCTACTGGACCGATTTTATTAATTAATGCGTCGTTGGAAAGCTTAGTTCGTGTGGATTTGCAAA